TGTGAGATCTTAACTCTTCCCCCCTGAAACTCCTTCTGACGACATCGGTGGGAGCCAGTACAGACTTATTATTTGGAGTACAATTTTTGCATGATCCAAGAAACATAGATGCATATTTTTTGTTGATTTAGGTATTATATTTTTAGACACAATTGTGCCTGCAGACGCAGTGAAGGGTGGATATAAATAGCATCTGAATTACTTCTGTGTAAGAGGATTATGTTCACCACTGTTTTGTGCTTCCCTTACTCCATGTCAATCCTGTCCTGTCGACAAGTATGGAAGAGAGATTAGGTTATGGTTTGTCTTGCCCTCTGTGTGTTTTACACTTCAAAGACCATGCTGGGTACCAAACAGGGAATAGCTGCTGAGCACAGTATTGCTGAAAGTAGGGAACGTGTGGCGGACAACAGGAGACAACATAAACACGTGTCCATCGCACAGACCAGTGACAAATCTGTCTGACTGTTCAGTATTGCATCTTTTTAAATATGCCTTTCAGGAGCTTGGAAGTGTGTACAGTGTCCTGGCTGCCATTTTAAATGTCGGTAACATCGACTTTTCTGCGGTGGTATCTGAACATATGATTGACAAGAGCAACATTTCCAATCCAGTAGCCCTTGAGAACTGTGAGTGCTTTTTCTTGTTTTGCGATTGTTTTCATTTAGTGTTTTGACAGTGAATTTCTTTTATTGCAAGAAATGAATTATTATCAATGAAAGCTGTATTCACATGGAAATTTTGCAAGAATAATTAAATGCTGAAAATAGATTAATTCTAAGCCCACCTGAATTCAAATACAAAAAGAAAGTATTTCTGTGTTGTGCACCTTCTTTGACTAACCAATTCACTGGCATTCAGGAAATACGACCAATACTGCAGATGCCTGAAAAGAAAATCTTTGTAATTTTTTCAGGGTTATTTGATGGAGAACCTTATTAACACATGGAATAGGTTTTTTTCCCAGTTTCATTCTCATAAACTTATTACTTGTTCCCCACATGTGCCTGCTGAAATATGGCTCACATTCTTTGGGAGGGATACCTTCCCTGTAAGGCTACTGTGAGGCAAAGGAGGGAAAGGGGCAAATATCCTTGAGGAAGTTGCTACTCTTTTTCTCAGTGATTACAGGTGGAGAGATAATGCAGTCTTCACACTATCTTCTTAAACGTTTTCCTGCCATAGAGAGAAAAATATTATGAAACTGGAAAAGAAGCACCCCATTTGTGGAACAGAGGAAGGACAGCAGTGGCTGACATAGTCACCTAGATTCCCTAGCATTTATTCATAGAGTGTTTGGAGAAAGAACCTCCTTGATAAAGCAATTTAGAACGTAAAGGCTTCTGCTTTGAGTCACTTGCTCATTGACTGCAGTGGAAGTTGGGAAGGTTGGTGACTGAGATACTGACAGTTCTTTGTGTGAACACCCTCATTAGTTGTAGTTCAAGACTTCGATATGGCCTTTATTTATAATATGTTGCAGTTGCAGCTTTGATTGCTGAAATGCCTGGTTTTCTTTCCAAAATCTGCCTCTGAGCTATGCCGGTGGACTTCCTTTCTAGGTGCATCCTTGCTGTGTATTCAGGCAGATGAACTGCAAGAGGCCCTCACCTCTCACTGTGTAGTGACTCGAGGAGAAACAATTATTCGTCCCAACACTGTGGAAAAAGCCACTGATGTCAGAGATGCCATGGCCAAAGCACTGTATGGGCGCCTCTTTAGCTGGATAGTCAATCGCATCAACACTTTGCTCAAACCTGACAAACATTTAAGGTAAAAGGGGCTTTTCCAGAACAAAGAGAGTTTTTCTATGTTAATAATATAGTCTACTCTAGAGCATTTAGTGTCCTCATCCACTTTTTCTCTGCTACCTTTTTGTTTATGATACTACCATGTTAAAAAAAGAAGATTTTATCCTACACATAATATGCAGTAGATATGGATAGCACAGGTGTCTGGTGTTCTTCTGTTTGACCTTTACTCATTTAACTCTTTTATAAATTACATACTAACTACTTTTTCCTTTATACTTTTTCAGGGTCAACTTTTGACATTCATCTCTTGATTACATAGGTCAAATTCTGCTCTTACTTGCACTGGTGATGTTGCTTCTGTCAGTATTATGAGTGTGGTTTCATATATGTGTGAGAGTAGATTCCAAACACATTTACTGAGGTTATTGTCCACCCTGCCCTTACAAGGTGACATCTGAAACACAGAGACAAGAAAGATGTTAGTGGCTTGTGTTGTAGATCCCATAGGTCAGAGGCCTCTATGACTAATAATAAAAGTGAAAAGGGCCAAACTTATAACTGCCTGAAGAGGAATATTGATAATAAATAGCTTTGGTTTGCAAATCTGGATTATTTTTTTTTTTGAAAAATCAGAGGAAAGCCAAGGCTGCAATCCTAAAATTTGTCTAAGCTTTCAAATATTTAGTTACAACAGTTACAAAGAGGACTTTAATTAGTAAGCGATAGGATAAAATTCATCATAGATGGGGCAGCTTTGTTAGCCTCTCTCTTTCACGCCTGTTACAGAGCCCTTTTCAAATTGAATACTTATTATGCTGGTGAGAAGGGAGAAAGTTTGACCTGAAATACTACACAAAAAAAAAAAAAGGAAAAATAGAAGCCTACTTTGGTTTTGTGGTAGTAAAATAATTTGTATTTGCTATGTTTATGTAATTAGCTCTGAGAAGGAGTGTGGCAGACAAATTTCAGCAGTCTATTCACCAGAAATGTAATTTCGAGACAGATAAAATAGTGACCAAATTCAGATCAAAATCAGCAAATACCTTTGATTCTTCCATAATGAATCGCTTTCATTTTTGAGATGAACTTCAAAACGAGGTTCAAGTGCTATTCATTAGTATCTTGAGGCAAATTCTTCATATCCAATTTCCTAAACTTTTTATAAAATTACAACAAAATAAGATTGGTTACAGACAGCTCCTCAAAGGGCTTTTATAGCTAGAATGTGATTAATTTTTTAAATTTATCTAAGAAAATACACTAGTGTTCACGTCAGTTTGACATAAAATTACATTCTCTTTTTTTTTTTCCAGCAAATAATACAAATGCTAGAGCTTTTTTTCCAGTTGCAGAAAATGACCACGTATCTCTCAGAATGCCTTAGCTAAAATGTGAAACTGAAGTTTTAGTAGTAATACTTCTCTGGGACTTAATTGGTAATTTAAATTCATACCACACTCCGGTACTTAAAGTAGTTATTTAGATGCGTAAAAGGTCTAGCTATTCATTCTTTTGACTTTCATGTTAAAATAAGCAATTTTAATTGTTGTGAATAAACAGTATGAAGAAATAATATTTAACAATTTTTAATTTCAAGATGCTGGTGAGTAAAGCCTGTTTTATTACAAGAGAAATGAAAAGAACTGCATGTTGTTTCTGTACTGTAGTCAGCTTTTTACAATAGAATAATAATTAGCAATTATTAGTTTAAAAATAAAATTTTAAATCTTCTATATGCTTATCAGTTAACTCAGTCATTATGTGATTCAGTCTATTTGGACTGCAAATATAGTCATCTTTAATTGATGTGCATTTATTATATTTCAAACAAAAATTGTTATTTTAAGAGGTATCTTAAAATTGTTCTGCTTAACTGGTGTACAGATTTGTCTCATTACATCCTTTTGTGAAATAATAATGAAATTAGTCAGTGTAAAATAAAGATACAACAATAGGAAGTTTATTTAATCTTTGCAGTGGAAACGATGATGGTTTGAACATTGGAATTCTTGATATCTTTGGCTTTGAGAATTTCAAAAAAAATTCCTTTGAACAACTCTGTATCAACATTGCCAATGAACAAATTCAGTTCTACTTCAATCAACATGTCTTTGCCTGGGAACAGGTATGTGTTGAATATTTTGATAAAGCTTTAATATTGCTGAACATATAAAACCTTGTTTCAAGAAACTGCATTGTTCCTTCTCCATAATAGGCTGTAAATTGCAGATTATAGCGAATGTTTTTCTGACTATATTCTGGGAACCAGTGCTTGCTATTTGCAAGTAAAATGTATACATAAAATGCATTAAACTTGAAATTAATGGTATCTAAGCAACATAACACAGTGATAATCGGTTTGATGCAAATGCAATGTTGTTTTCTTGAGGAATAACATTACTGATGTAATGCATAATTCTACAGTAAAAAAATAAATGAGTGGTAACGTAATTTTTAAAGTGCAGTGTTCATAATAGCTTACTAATAAGCTTAATGAACACTGAAATTCCATTATTAAAACTGAAAATCTTGCAATTATTTTGTTTTTATTCAGGAACTAGGTCATCTAAGCTAAATAATGATGAGTTTAATCTAAATAATTTTATGAAAAACAGAAAAGGAATAAAGTTGTAATTATAAAAGTTCATGAAATGGGAGAGGAGAGTGAAAAGCCTTGAAAAAGTTCATGTTAACTTTGTAAATAATTCCATGAGAATTAAATTAACCATCTTTACTTATTATTAAATATTGTTATTTGAAGAAATAACATGTCCAGGGAAAAAAAAATCTTACTGCAAATAGAAATATTCCAAAATTCTGTATGAGCGTAACAGTCAACATTCAAATATTAGGTGAGATAATATTTTCTCTGTTTTATTGAGGTTTATGATACGTAAACGAAAATCCTCCTGAATACTAGTTTTAATTATTAGTTGAAAAGGAGTATTTTATCAGTGTGAATAATTGCCTGTTTTAAGGATGAAAGAGATGCAGGTTTACAATCTGTCTATGTATGTAGGTGTGTGCATGCATGTATCAGTCTACAGGTATATATATCTATGTGTAAAATGGATTTTTGTTTAATATAGATCAATATTTTCCTGTTTCAAGTTATTTCAAGAAATGTTTTCCCGAAGTCCTAGACCTTGTAGTTGTTTTTACAGATTTTTATGGGAGATTCTCTGTCACAAGTATTTTCTTCTCTTTAATACTATCTAAAAGTCAGAGATAAATTAGTGTGCACTACTATAATTACTCTAGGTATCTCCTTTCCAAAGTGCATAAATTCACACAAAAGGAGCACTTGGCTACTGCTGTTTCTAACAGCTGGAAGATGCAAATAGCATAGATTGCAGCACTATTTCATATTCCTGTCAAATCCAGGCACTGACAAGGTCCCATGGACTTGTGTACATGCATTTTGCTCAAATGGGCCCTCCCTGGAAGTGTTAAAAGCCAAGCTGGATGGGACTTTGAGCAACTGGTTTAGTGAAAAGTGTCCCTGCTCAAGGCAGAATGGAACTAGGTGACCTTTAAGTCGCTTCCAGCCCAAACCTATCTGTGGTTCTATGTTTCTGTGATTCTCTAGTTGCCTTTTTGCTGCTCATAAACCTGCCTTGGCTTTCCTAACCCTATCCCTGTACACCCAAACATTGTCTTAATATTCCTTCTCATTTTAATTAGGCTTGGGCCCTGTTCAGTGTAATCCACCTTTACTTTTTTCTAGATATCCCAATACAGAACATTTTGGCCAGATTAATGCAGTGGTTTGTGGTGTCACCATCTAACAGGACCACTTTGCTCTCCTGCGTGTGCCCTGCTGCAAATAGGTCAGGGTGGTTATTTTGCTACTGAGCAGGTGAGGGAGAAAGTAAGCTTCTGGTTTTGACAACAGACAGTTTACCCATTCCTCATTGCAGGAAATGAGTATGACAATTACAGACCTTGTAGAAGGGGAAACTGATCTTTATTTACAGACTCTCGACCTATATCAATTTCATTCATTCATTCTCTTACAGATTTCATTGACTTGCACCCATGTAGAAAGCACTAGGAAGTGTGTGCTCAGGTGGTCTGGCCAGGGTCATTTGTGAGTGACACAGAGAATAAGGGACACCATAGAGCAAACCTTTCTTCTTGCTGAAAAAAGTTTTTGGACAGATCCTTTACATCCTTTAACAGTCGTCAGTTGTTAAGAGGTAGTTCTTTACCTCAGAATTTTATTTATTTCAGCCTCTATAATCTTTAGGAAGATCATTATCTGGCTTTATTTGTTTGGAATATATACATCTTTATGCCTACAGTCTGCTTCCTTGATGGGCTCACAGGGAAGGTGAAGATGTATGTGATGTGCTGTAACCTTGCAATCATCCTCTTGTCAGATTTAAAGGGTGTTCCACTCGCTAGCTGCCTGCAATGAGTTTTTATGTGAGTGAAGCCGTTCTGCTCTTGATGTATACAACGTTTTCTTCAATTTTATTGCTGTGAACAAACATTCATTCATATCACAGGCCATTCTTCTAAGACTTCTTCTTCTTGTGGCTATACTCACATTTCCTTTAATTTATACCAGTACTAATATTCCTATTACAAGTGTCCACATCCTGCCTGTAATACCCACTGAGTAAGATGTCTACTTTAATTTGCATGACACCACTTCACCAGATGATATCAAACTTCATTATATTATCTTGTAGCAGTCTCCAAAGATATTACTACAGCAGTGCAGAATGAGCTATTCAGATTAAGTTAATGTAAGTGTGGGTGTAAATCCCTCTCCCCTTTCAGAGCCAGGAAATGACAGATGTATTATTCTGCATTACAGCCCAATGGCACAGGATGATTTGCCGTATGATTCATTGTCATTATAAGACGTAACTTTTCACTTATTTATGACATGGTTGTTCCAGTTTTACGTCACAAGAACAGTCTTCAAGAAAGCAGATGCCTTCAGAATATTTTCTGTTCATTGTAAGGATTCTCCTGTGTTAACACCAGTAACATACTTCAGTTGTAAATACAGGCCCTCCCTGCAGATGAATAAGAAAAAACTATTTGCAGGAAAATATAAAGCATAATTCCCAAATTTTTTATACACGAAAATAAAAGAAAATATTTTTTAAAATAATATGACTGAAATTGTTGTTAATGACACAAAGTATTGTTTATGTAAGAGCCAAAATTAGGACGACCACTACTCTTTGCTGATGTATCTGCTTGACTTTACACACATGTAAAGCTTTGTGTCTTTAATGCTAAAAGACAGTTTTGTTTAGGAGAAAGCTGAAGCCAGCAGTCACCTAGACTTTTGCCTTGACTTTTAATTAGACCAAGCTGCCTCCTGTTGCTGGAGAACCAGGCCGGTATCTCCCCACAGCCCTGTGCAACACCAGACAGGCATGTCGGATTGCTCTGTGATATCTCAGAAATCTCTAACACAATATTGCATTGCACCCTGTAGATCTACCTGAGAAAAACTGCAGAATTTAATTTATTTCACACTGCACTCAAGAGAAGTAAAACTTAGAAGTACATTATTTCTTCCTTTCTTTCCATACCACATACAATTAGATGAAATTTTACATATCTAGTGGGAAATCAAGGCCTAAATCAGCTGATTATAGTCTAGTTCTCAGTTAACCAATGTCAACCTAATAAATGGTGATAATATAACTGGGGAGGGTCAATCTATTTTTGGCAACTTGAGCAGTGAAGCCAAATACTAAATGAATTGATAAAGCTGAGTTGTACTTTCAGTGTGGCAGGTGACATGTTTTTAGCATTGTCAGTGGTTTCTTTTCTGTATCTGAATCTAAAAAGTGGTCACAAATTTGCTTTCCTCAGAAGTGTGGCTTGAATAGTAGGAAGGAACAGTGATGTCATCACCATCCAAGGCTCAGGGTGTCTGCTGGAGCAGTGTCTGCATGTCAACAGGGAGAACCCAAGACAAAATCAAGGGAATTAATTCTTTATTGTTGACTCAATATTTGCATTTAAGAATAAAGGCTTTTAGGCCTGAATGCAGTCACCTTTCCCTGATCTAACAGAGAGACTGAAGTGGGGAATATAGTTTAAGGTAGAGATAGTTTAGATTTGTGGTAGTCAGTGGAGACAAATAGATACATCTCTGTCTCCAATGACTGGGGAGGAAATATGGGCTCTCAACTTAGTCAATTCCTTTATGTGTCTGTATTTAAGTGGAATGAATGCTGGCACAAGCTTTTCAAAGAATCGCAGAATGCGAGGTTGGAAGGGACCTCGAAAGATCATCTAGTCCAACCCCCCTGCCAGAGCAGGATCACCTACAGTAGGTCGCACAGGAACACGTCCAGACGGGTTTTGAATGTCTCCAGAGAAGGAGACTCCACAACCTCCCTGGGCAGCCTGTGCCAGGGCTCTGTCACCCTCACAGTGAAAAAGTTTTTCCTAATGTTTTTGTGGAACATCCTATGCTCCAGCTTGCATCTGTTGCCCCTTGTCCTATCATTGGACATAACTGAGAACAGCCTGGCACCGTCCTACTGACACTCATCCTTTACATATTTATGAACATTAATGAGGTCACCCCTCAGCCTCCTCCAAGCTAAAGAGACCCAGCTCCTTCAACCTTTCCTCATAAAGGAGATGTTACACTCCCTTCATCATCTTTTTGGCTCTGTGCTGGACTCTTTCAAGCAGTTCCCTGTCCTTCTTGAACTGAGGGTCCCAGAACTGGACACAATATTCTAGATATGGCCTGTCCAGGGCAGAATAGATGAAGAGGAGAACCTC